GGACCTTAATTTAAAACATACATGTAAAATAACATTTTGCTGCAGACTCGTTTTTATTGAAACACTTACCACTGCCTTACAACATGCGCTTCATCGACGGCAATGGCACAGAGTTTTTTGGAATACACAGAGTTCGTCAGCATAAATCTCCAGCGTTCGTTCTTTAACCACGCTTCAGGGGATCCGTAAACTAAGGAATATTCGCCGCTTTCAACACGAGTGCGTTTACCATCCTCAAGTGAACTTATGTTACCTGCTTTTAGCCCTACCTCCCTCAAATGGGACACTTGATCGTTCATAAGGCTTTCCCCAATGGTGAGACAACGACAACGATATGACCAGGCTCTTGTGAGGTAAGATCAAACACGAGTGGTAGTGCTTTATACAGGAGAGATTTCCCGAAACCAGTGGGAAGATTGAAAAATACATCCTTTCTTTCCTCAACTATTTTCCTAGTCCCAGTTTTTTGCTGCGCATTTAAACTAGGAATTCGAAATATATTACTAACAACATCAAACGCTTCTTCAAAGGACGCCATTTTGAAAGCTTTGAACTCGAAGATGAAACAAACAAGATGATTGGTTAGACTACTTTGGTGCGCACAGTTCTCAACATATGTAACCCAAACAGTGATTGGTTTAAGTAGCGGAAAGGAATGTTGTTCGAATGTGAGCAGCCGTTTGTGGGGAGAAGCGTAGCGTGACGAGACTAAAAACGGCTGCGAGGGAGACTTAGTCAATATCTAACTGATCCTTAACGCTAAGTGACGTGTATATCCCCAGGGGAGAGGAGGAAGGGATGCACAAACGGTCAACATTTGCGGATTTTTTACCTTTGAACACTTTCATACTCCATTCATCCAAGGTTCAGGTGCGCGTGGGTTGCCCAGAGGGGGTGGATGTTGGTGCTTGTCGGCGCATTATTCTGGATTCCTTCACTCTACCGCTTAAGGAATCCCCTTGAAATCCTTATTCATTTTAATGTTAATGAAAACGCCAGTCGAGCTAAAAAACCAACAGCTTCGACTTCACCAATCTTTGAAAATCACTAGTTATTGCCAGATACCTTCTCTCCCCGCCCCCTCCCTGGAGGAGAGCGCGAGCAGTTTGAGTTCCGCATGTCACATCATCTCACCCTGTCATTTTCATTAAATGACAGAGGATAAATTTACGTAAAATTCTTCGGTTGCGTCTGGCCAAACTAGTGCAGCTAAACGGTTTTTGTAGTGGTGCAGCTCGACTCTGTATATCTCTGCGACGGTGTAGAGTGTTGCAAAATTTTAGTCTTTTGCAGCTATCAAATAGAATTATACAATCATACGGTAAACAGTCGACCTTCAGGTATGTCTGGATCGAAAGCAAAGTTACCGAAAGCTATGAGTCAAAGAAGTTTTCTCGACTTCAGTCCTACAGAGGGAAACAAAGAAAATGCGCTGTCTATCGAGGAAGTGGGTGTTATCAACAAAAGCTTTGGTAAGATATTTCTTTCTTTATTTCTGAACAGCCTAGTGAAAAGAATGGACAATTCACTAACCTCTGAATAAATGGATGTTTAGGTTAGTTTACTGTAATGAGCGCGCGCGCGTAAAGCAAACTGAATCAATTCTGAACTTTAAATAGACCTCTCTGGCTTTGAGTTTCATTAGAGATCATATAGCATCGTTGGGAAGTAAATGCAATCGTCCTGAACGACGAGAATCGTAACTACCTTATAATAATGAATAATAAATGAATAAATGATTTAACTACCTTATCCTGACGATCTAGTTATTAAAAGGAGTTTCGTCCTATCACTTCCTTAATCAGCTTGTCTGTACGTCAACTACCGAAATAACAATAGATTAGTTGTTATGGGAACTTAAATTTTCTGAGTCGCAGAATAATATGCAAATAATGCTGTGACGTTTATTGCATAGCAAATTGCTAAACACTTTCGATTTACCAGACGAGCGACCAGTTCGATTTGAGTGTAATAACTGAAGCCATCTTTCAAGTTGATCGATTAAGGTATGAGTTATTTCTAGTCAATCTAAACAGCTTTCGTGATGAACCTAATACCTTTAATAATGTGTTGATCTGATTCTATTCAAATAAATGAAAGATGCCCCAGAACGCTTCGATCATGCATGACTAAAACATGAAGGTCACGAATCGTACTGTTATACAAACATTCGATCATCGTGGCAACCGCATGAAATTGTTCGCTTTCAGATCTACTTGGATTTAAAATAATATTTTGGGATTAACCTAAAATGCATGATTGTTGGAAAAAGGAAACTCTTCGCTTATAGCTAAACTAGGTTGCTTATCGTTCGTCATTATTTTTCCCGAGGGAGATACCAAATCGTAAGTTTTGAAAACACTTTTGTATGGACCGTGGGAATTTACGCGTATTCTTTGCAGTTATAATACTGTTTTGATGCAATATCCAGAGACTAGTCGTAAAACGAAATCTACGACGAATTAATTAATGACCATTTTACGATGAGACAATCAAAGATTATGCCGTGCGGTAAAACGATCGTGGCAAATTTCAAAGACTGCTAAAACTCACGTTATAGTTGTTACAGTTTCAGCGCAGTAATATCTCCAGAGGTAATGAATTTAGTGCCAGATCACTCATCATTCTGTAAGTGCAGTTTTACTTATAAAAGTTGGACCAAATTGGACACCTTATTTATGTCCTTTTTGAGTGGCACCAATGTTGTTCAGAATGTCAGTTTTGGATAATTTCACTGATGGAGGTCTTTTTGTTAAACTTAATCACCAAAGATCCTGATGTTGGTGGAAATTTATTGAGAGTACCATCCCAAGAATCAATGGCTTCTACAGACACTTATCACAGCAATGCCTCAAGTCTGGTTCAAGTGAGACCTGTTGATGATGAGGATGGAGCTGCTGCTGCTGACTTCGATGATGATGAACTATGGGAGCATGAAGGGCAGTTTGAAAAGAGCATGCCTAGTCACCAGTTCCGTTCCATCAGGGGTCTCCCATCAGAAAATGCAGTGAAAAAGGGAATAAGAAGGACTTTGAAGAGCAGAGCTCATAACTCTCGTGTCTCTCTGAGAAGTTTGTCTGGTGATGGTGGAGATGATGCTGGAAGGTTCTATGAAGATGAAGTGCTTCGTGATACGGAGTTTACAGCAGAAGAATTTGCAGAGTTGACTAAGAGAAGACAGTCTATCAAGGAAATGCCCACATCAATTAGACGGAAACGCAGTCTCAGGTTGGCCACGTGTTAACGTTGTAGAAATAGATGAAAACTGCACAACTATACTTGATAGTCAAATTAAAAAGTGCCTGTTCTGTTAAGAGGTTGAAATCTTACACCAGACAACAATTTACTGTGATGCATTGTAGGTTGCTGCAACAGATTACCATCTGACATATGGTGGAAATCTTGACTAGTTGGTTGTGACTGAAATTTGTCTTTGGAATCAGTTTCAAAAATTAAAACTGATTTGCACGGGTTAAACATTTTTACTGATTGAAAATACAAATTCTACAACAGATCGAGGAGATATTTCCTAGCTATTCCTATAGTGTCACTTGATGTGTGTTGTTGTAGAAGAGGCTAATGTTCCTGTGATGCTTTATGCAGCAATATATTTTGAGGCTGGCTCACACAGGAGTGGCTCATCACAAGTAGCACCTGTATTAAGTATTGACTTGTTACCAAGTTTATCCAGACCTCAAAATGAGTATATGACATTTTGATGCACGAAAAAACTTCTAATCCTTGTGTTAATAACTCATGGAAATGTTGGATTCCCTTTATGATGTCCTAGAGTGTGCATGTACATGTTAAAACTCATAGAGTTAAACAGCTTTAAATTATCAAACTATGACTGAATGCTGTTACAATGAAAGACTCATGAATACACTAGTGATCTGATCAATAACCTAGCTTGAACTATGTAATGGTTTTACAGAGAGAATGTTACCACAGCTGTGGTCCAAAGAGGGAAGACGAAGCGAATTAGTGCTTGGAAACAATTTAAGTTCACATTTGCAATGGTAAATGTACATTTTGACAAAACATTTATTTCAATTGTTTTAATTGATTCTTAATTGATTATTTTTCTTATAATCAGTGTATAGGTTAGTTACTTAATAATTATAAACAACACCTAGCCTACAAGTACCAGCTGTTGTTTCCAATAAACTTTTACTTGTTTAACTTTGAATGTTATTTTGTACACTTATATCAGGGCTGGCAGCATTTTAAGGATGGCGCCAAAGAGATTCTTTATTCCATGGATTTGTGGAGGGGTCATCTAAAATTAGTTCATGGTAAGTGTCAGATGTATTTTTGATCATTACTGATTATTATTGTTATTGTTGTTAAAAGTGACCTAACAGGAATAGCAGGCTGTTACGTGTGCTTATACAAGTTGTGCTTTGAATGGATGCCTGCCTCAATGGTTTGCTTTGTTTCTTTCCTTTTCCCCTCCTCTCCAACTCTGGGTGGGTATTTATTCCACACCCAAGTTTGTCAGTGTTGCATTGACAGGTGCCTGTAGCTTGGTTGCCATAATATATATAAGTGACCTCCTTGCCACTTAGGAGTTTTGTCATTCTCTTCTTTAGCTACCTTTACAGCACCCACCCTTCAATATAACTTTAAAATCATGACCCTCAGTTATATCTCTCACTGCAATCTTCAGTTTTTCTTCTTCTGGATGATAATTTTCAGTATCATTCTATAGGCTTTTTGCATAAGTTATAATCAATTAAATATAAATATATTCTTTCTTCTTCAGGAATGTTTGGCTCAGGAGTAATGTCATACTTTGTGTTACTGCGATGGCTGTTCCTCCTCAACATTGTGATACTGCTGTTAACAATCTTCTTCCTATTTATACCACAAATGATCCATTCTCAGAGCTCAGACAACAACAATGCTTCCTTCACAGGATGGGAACTACTCACAGGAGAGGTATAATGGCCAATTAAGAAGTAGATAATGGCTTGAATCCAGGGGTTAAGTACTAAAATGTTGTTGTCCTAGCTGTTACACTTTTGTTCATGTAAATGAAACAAAAAGAAGCTTTAAATAGTGTTTCTGTTTGATTTAGGGAATTATCTAAGGATTTAGTTGATTCTAGCAACTGATTAAAACTCCCAAATCTTCTTCCTAAGTGTGGAAACAATTGCTGTCTCCTTCTCTCGATGTCAGTAGCAAAATTATAATTAGTAATTAGATTATATTTATTTACTATGAACATTAAGAGCTAGGGGATCGGAGTAGGGTGTTAAAACAAGACTTTGACATCAGGTTGAAGCTTGCTGCCTTAATTTTTTAGGCCCTTTATAAATTGCATGGCAGCTTGTTATTATGCATGAAGCTTTAAATGGAACCTATTTTGTGCCCAACATTTTCTTTCAGGGTTGGTTTGCTGCCACAGAATTGTACTATGGTGCATACACCAACCAGAGTATAACTAAAGATGATTTTGAGTATATCATGCCTTTGGGTTACCTGTGTGTCGTAGGTGGTTATCTGTTGCTGTGTCTGATCATGCTTGTTTACAGGTAAATACAGCCAAATAGTCAATTTTACAGTCGCTTGCTTGGTTTCCAAGCCTTTGAACAGGAGTACTTGAAGCTAAGGGTGACCTTGTTACATATGACATAAACATAACGTTGGTGCTTTAAATAAATACAAATTACTTTGTTATCAGTCATGCTAACCAGATACTGGTCTCTTTCACAGCAAGTAAGATCACCTTCAACATCACTCCAAATCAAGGGCATGGCAACTAAGTACACAACTGTGAAATGGCCAATTAAAAGTGCAATATAAAGAACTTAATTTTTGATTATATGCATGGGCCAATTAATATAAGGAGTGAAGTCTAGCATTTGAGCCATTTAAGTACTGTTGCAAGTGGCCCTGAGTGTAAGCCAGGGCTTTTCCCTCTTTCTCTTGCCAAAAGTGGCAGGGAGACCCTTGTCTGGGAATCGAACATTCTGTGGACTGTTCTTGTGGTAGACACTTATATAACTCTTGCAGCACCTTTCTTGGAGAAGGCCTGTTAATTAAAACATCAGATAGTGTTCAGGAGCAAGACACTTCACCCAACTTGAGGCTCTCTCCAATTTAGGGTCTACTTCTGGAATCTGTCAATTTTAACTGCTCCCAACATCTGTT